ACAAATTGGTTTCTAAGGTTTTATATACATAATTCACGGCTTGTATTGATTCATAACATTCATACAAAATTTTGAGAGCTTTAGATTTTAGTAAAGAGAGATTTTGTTGTAAACACAATTGCTATTGATTATAGTGAATTTTTCCTCCTTAGTCTGTAGTTTTTTCTCGTCTTGGATTTTCAAGCAAATCTTTGTGTTATTTATTTTGTTCTTGATTATTTCATTATTGTCGTAATCTTTCTATCAACTTTATAACAAGTGGTATCAGAGCGAAGGTGATTATTCCGCATGGCAACGATGAAATTTGATATTTCGGTATTGGATCGAACATGAGATTTATTTTTTGGCAAGTAAAATGCCAGGAGTTCTTTCGCAATAGATTTGGAAGAATTCTTGCTTGGCTTTGATAAGATACCTTCAACCTGAATGCAGGATGAAAAGCTGCGTAGGGATCGAATAGCCCAAACCCAAATTCATCTACATCTATCAAACCAAAATCTTCAAGATGTTCTCAAGGAGAAAAGTGTCGCTACGTTGTGATTGAAATTGGAGTAACTTTGTATGACAAAGAGCTTGACCAACAAGTTACACTTGAAACAGTACTTGTATTCTCATAGAATATCTTTAAGTGCGTCATTGAATGATCACTTGACTATGTTCAAAGAAATTTTGACTGATTTGGAGATGTTGGAGATTAAGTATGATGAGGAGAACTTAGTGTTGATGTTGTTGTATGTTGTCGCCATCATATCTGACTTTTGGAGATACTATTCTATTTAATTGGATACTCTCAATGTGGAAGAGGTCGACTTTGCTTTGTTATCTAAGAAAAAGATAAGGCATCTTGCTAGAGGATTTGGAAGTCAGGCAAAAGGTTTGGTTGTTCGTGGAAGAAATCATGATAGGAATTCTAATAGGAATATGAGGGGCAGATCAAAATCCGAACATGCAGAAAATATGTGTCATTACTGTAAGAAGATTGGACATATCAAAGCTAATTGCTATTATCTGAAAAATAAGAATAAGGCTGCTGGTACTACTGATAAAGGAAAGCAACCTATTAACTTAGTAGAGGCTGATATTGTGAAAGATGAGCAAAGTAAAAAAGAGCTTCTTGTGATTTTTGACATGAATTCCAAACCTTGTGAGGAATGAGTTCTTTACTCAGCTTGTACCTTTCATATGTGTCCCAACAGGGACTTATTTACAATATATGAGAGAGTTTCGAGAGGTGCAGTGATAATGGGACACATAGAATGGCACACATTTTCCCATAATCACTCTTCCTTTGAAATAGGGTAGAGCGTCGAACAAGCACAGGATGCACTGGCCAAAGCCGCACCATTGAGATGCCTAAGTATGTCATAGAAAAGAGTGGGATAGAAATATAAAAGTTGCTGGGATATAGAGTGTTTAGATGAATGAACTTAATAATGATAATTTGGTTGAAAATAGTGGCTCTTTATTAAACCTATAGCCGGTAGGTGACATTTTTTGGCTTTTGTTTTATGAAAAACTATTATATTATGAGAATTTTACCCAATTTTGATTTAAAAGATATTCATTTCAAATCAACATATTGTCAAAATTGTGTTATTGTTCTATCTTGTATTCATTTTTCATCTGTTGGTATCAGGCTACAACCACATTCCTACTAGAGACGGGTTGATGTTCTTGAAGTTTCTTGGACGAGATTCAATACTGATAGCATATGAGACAATCTACCAATAATTTGATCTATTGGATTAATACATTGATACGTTGAAGGCCAAACAATGGGTATTATTGGGTGCCAATGAAGGGCACTGGCATGATAGTTTATAACAAGGACCAGCACGGTAGTGTTATGGTTGCAGGTGATTCGACTGTAGAGTAGGACTTTAACAACGATAATTACCCTTTTGTCGCTTTCAACCCCGAAGATATGGATAATGGATATTGGTTTAGATGAATGTTCATTACAGCGGTCCACCAAATTTTTATGAGCCACATGTTGAGATCTCCTATAAGCGGTCCAAAATTTTGAGGTAAATTATGAATTTATTAATAGCACAATTTTGGATAGCCCGAATCAAAAGGAAAACTACCTACCTCTGGAAAAGCTAAGTTTTCCTACGAAATTGTTAATCAACGGGCTGTTGAGATTGAGAATGATAACTTTTACGCGTATTCATCCTATGACCTTGAGAGTGTGAATCAACTCCAACTAAAAAGAAAGAGGGTCTGATTTTTTATGGAAGGCTAAATTGGATGGATCAGGGAATTGGGTTTGAATGTTGTTGCTGCCCGCCACTTTTTTGGTCCTTCAAGATGCATGAATTGGAACCATTAAAATGAATATTTATGAATTATGACATGCATCAACAAGATGAATTTATGAAAGGAAACTTTAAAAGAAATGGATTCTGAGTTTTGGTGGCTTACTCAACTGGGTTCATATACTTGAGATTATTCTTTCTCAGAGTTACATGGGTGCAAAGAGGATTGAAATTGATTTTTAACCCATGCTTGAATGATGGTTTCCATACATTTCTTATAGAACCGTGCTAGGTTTACAGGACCTGTGTACAGTCCCTGCCAGGCCACACACATACATGGGGTCCACGTAATTTATTTTTTTTAAATACATGTGGGGCCATGCACAGTGAGGGGCCCTGTAAAACACCTGTGAGCCATTGCCCTGTACACTGGGCATTATTCTTTCTTATATTCCTATGCGTAGGTGCATTGGTGTAAAATTTTCACCATTTATTATATTGTGTACTCAACTGATAAAGCTATCGTCATGTTTAACGATCTCTTTATATGTCTACATTAATCATTCTTACATGATTTTTAATTTGCTCCTGTTTAGCCCTATTATTTTAGAATGAATTTTGCAAAATTGATTTTGTTTAAGAATGTATGGTTAAAATATAAGGAAAAATTTTAGGGTTACGTACAAAATTATTTTATTGGAAGAACGTGTGCTTAGAAAAATGAGTTTGAGTAAAGATGGGGTTTAAAAGATAAAGTTGAAATAGGGGCTTCGATTCTCCACTCTTCCCTTAGGTTATTTTGCTGCTTATTAACCCGCAGCGGAGGAATTTATCAACATATTAATTCATAAATGGATAGAAATAATGATGGATTTTATCTATGGATCCATTAAAATATATTGTTGAAATTAATCAAGGCTTACTTCTATATGTTATGAACTGATGACAATTACTCGAAAATTCACATTCTAAAAACATATATCTAGTAATTATTGTTCCAAATAAATGATTGGCTGAAGTTAATATACCATATCTTGAATAGAGGTATTTTAAAATATTTCAAAAGACAGATTATTAAAGAATGTGATGATCCACGGAATTTGTCATTATATCAGAGAAGTCAACTATCTCTTTTTGTCTTAGGTTAGGTGAGTAAATACAAAAGTGAATTGAGCTCGGTTCACAAGGGCCTCACAAGCCCTCACTATTATTGGGTCGGGCTCCATAAGTATTTTTAAAAAACTTGGGGCCCGCCCTCACCTCTTTCTCACCTGGCAGGGGCCTATGAAAGTAGGACCTTGTACATTAAGAGTAATTCTACAAAAGTGATGACCTACTGCATTATTAATTATAGCACGCCATTTTAGAGTATCTTGTACTTAGAGAGTTTTTTAGAGATGCCTCTATAACAAAAGAGTAGAAAATATTTATATTTCATAATAATATCAAGAAATATTGTTGAAATAATTATGAACAAAAAAAAACAAATATAAAGAACAAAAAGAAATAATTGCGAACTTGCAATCTTGGCAACAAAAAGAAGAGCACTTCATTTTTATTTTTTAAGAATAAATTTTATAAAACTTTATTTTTTCAGAGAATGTATGATTAAAAGTAGGAAAAATTTTGGACTTTCGAGCAAAATTTATTTTATTGAAAGAACGTGAAAAAGAGTTTGAAAAAAAACACGATTTTTAAAAAATGAAGCTGAAACATGGACTTTGATTCTGCGCTCATCTCATTAGACCAATCGAACAAATTCCTACATTAGGTAGAGAAAAATTGTTTAGATCTTGTCCAACAAGCTATTCAACATGTAAGTAAACGTCTTCCATCAGTCAAATTTGTTCATTTTGACTCATGCTATGGGGTGGAAGAAAATGAGCCCGTGTTTGTCAATCATTTTAATTCAGGCCCCGTTTGGTAACCATTTTTGTAAAAATAGAAATGAAATATATAGTCGTTATGAGACCTACATAAGAGATAGAAAGTTAAATATAATGGCTTGATATAATAGATAACGGTCATATTTTTCATTTTTGTGGCCAAAGAATGAGAATCAAACAAGGGCTGAGATTTTTTTTATTTTTTTCTGGTGGGGGGAATGAGTTTTGGAATAGTGATTTTTTTGGAGGATGTGGTAAAATAGTTGGAAATTTTATTTTTTTTTATATGCAAAATATTTTATTTTAAAAATATGCAGTTGAAAATAAGTTTGAAAAAAAAAATTAAGAGAGAGAGTTTTTTGTTTTAATGGTTGTCAAACAGGAGTTGAAATAAGGCTACTAGGATCATTTGACGTTTTCGCCATTGGCTTACATGATACGTCGCCACTTTTACAAGGCAAAGGGTGAAAAAACGACTCAAGATTAGAGGGTGAATTTTCTCCAAATCGAGGTGAATGGCGCAATACTACTTAAATATGCATGGGCTTGCTTTCAGTAGTTTATTTATTTAATAAGAGCCTAAATGATTTTTTGTGTGATTGAAGGTCTAGTTTATCTTTTGTTAATAGTTGGGGGACTAAGTGAGTAATTTCAAATAAACTAGTAATTAGGTTATTTTGCTGCTTATTGACCCTCAGCGGGCAATGACATTTTTTTGCCTTTTGTTTTATGAAAAAATAATATAATTGTCCGGGAATTTTGTCTAACTGCGAATCAATGATCTGTTGTTCACTTGTTATCGTTTTATCTCTTTTGTCTGCATCAGTTATGATTACCACTTCATCAACAACTCACAATCGGAAACCCACAGTTCTGAAGTAGTATATGACATACTAAGGAAGAACATAAAGACATACATGAAAATCTTTGTAAATAAGAGTGCATACATTAATATAGGGAATTAAAAACTTTGATGCATTTTTGGGCGAAATTACTTCTACTAGTGAAGCTTATTTGCATCAAGAACTGCTCTCAAGCCTCCTTTCACTGGATTCCTTAACCTTCCACAGGAGGGTTGTAGGGTGTGGCAATCAAGTGAAGATTATCTTTTCTCGTTCCACTTATTCCTTGTGCCTCGATCATGTCCATATCATTAGTATTCATTCCAGGGGGAAGTTTCCAGTTAAAGTGATAGAGAAGTTGTGCTAAAGGGTACTCAATATTTGCCAAGGCAAAACTCATGCCGGGACAAAACCTTCTTCCTGATCCAAATGGAATATATTCAAAGTTATTTCCCAGGAAATCAAGAGTACTATTCTCGAATCTCTCTGGTTTAAAACTTTCTGGTTCATCCCAATATTCTGGATCTCTTCCCAATGCCCAGATATTAACGGTAACTTTTGCTTTGACGGGTATAGTATACCCCCCATCAACTTCACATTCTTCTCTGCATGCTCTTGGAAGTAATGGAACGACGGGGTGTATCCTAAAGTTTTCCTTGATAATCAATTTCAGATATTTCAGATTTTGACAATCACTCTCGTCGATTGTCTTCTTTCCTTCAAAAGTTTGTCTTACTTCAGCTTGTGCCTTTGCCATCACACGTGGATTTCTCACTAACTCTGCCATGAGCCAATCAAGTGCTGTGGTGGTTGTTTCAGTTCCTCCTGTAAACATGTCCTGGAAAAACAAAACCATTCTTATCGTTGTGGAAACAAAAAGGCTTAAGAATAAGTAATTATTTTACTTTTACATAAGTACTTACGAAAATGATTGCTTTGATGTTGTCATTAGTAATAGGGACATCAAGCTCTCCACTTTGTTGTAACCTGAGTAGAACATCGATTATGTCCTCACTTCCCAACTCCCCATTGCTTCCTTTTCCTCTAGCTCGGTTATCTTTGTGCTCGTCAATGATGCGGTCAAGAATTAAATCTTGTTCACGCCGCATCTTCAACAATTTAAATTTATTCCAAGAGACGTACTGAAAGAAATTTCTTGTCGGGTAGAAATCAGCCAAATCAAATCCTGCAGCCAAGGCGATTCCTTTTTTCATGAACTTTATCAAAGTGTCTTGATCCCTCAGTAGCTCGCCGAATGCTGCTCTAGATGTGATTGAACTCGTGAATGTGAAGATATTGTCAGTTAGATTGATGAGTTGTCCAGAAGACGACCGGATATTGTTAACAAGACGTGAAGTCTCGTCTATCCTTATGGAGCTATATGATCGGACATTTTTGCTACTTAAGAGCTCTACAATGCACACTTTACGCATTTGCCTCCAATAGTCATTATACGGACTAAAGGCAATATTGGTATAGTTGTACCACAAAATCTTCATTCCTATACTTTCTGGTCTGTCTGCACAAGCAAGATCATGCGCTGTTAAAATATTTTTAGCCATTTCACGCGACGATATGACAATGGTAGAAACTTCACCAAGCTTCAGATGCATGATCGGCCCATATTTTTTTGCTAAATCTCTTAGACCACGGTGTGGGAGTGCACCCATTAAGTGGTGTAGGTGTCCAATCACAGGCAACTCCGACGGACTTGGGGGCAATTTTTTATGCTTGTCAAGGGAATTTGATTTCTTCCATCCCTTAACCAACAAGGTGATGAAGTATATGAAAAGCAAGAAAGTAATGAAGTTAAAAGAAAGAAGCTGGGTCTCCATTGTGATGGCTATTGGTTGCGTTATTTAGTTGGATAAAATGTTCCCAAAACATCTCCTATATATAGCAGCAACAAAATTACTACTTGTACCGTTAAGTTGGAATTTGTATCAGTATGTGTTGACTAGCATTGCCATATAGATATCGTGTTTGATTTTGGCTTCTTAGCCGGCTCTGCTGAATTTCTATCTTACATTATTGGACACTTGAAGTATCATCTTATGTTATTTTAGCCCCAATTTGGCCCCTATATTTTGAAAATGAAAATGGGTGAAATAGTATTTTTTTGAAAAATGAGTGGTTGAAAAAGAATGAAAAGTTTTCAATTTACGTGTAATATTATTTTATGAAAGATTATATGGCTAAAAATAGAAGGGAAAAAATTGAATGGAATTTAAAGGGGCCAAACGGTGGCTTAGCTCTCATTTGGCCATCTAAAAAATGTGTAGAATAATGTTTTTTTTTTTAAATAATGAGTGACTGAAAAAAGAAATGAAAGATTTTCGATTTATGTGTAATATTATTTTATGAAAAATTGTTTGATTGAAAATAGAAAAGAGAAAAATATAATGTAATGTAATGAAATTTAACGGGGCCAAATAGGGGTTTAATGTCTAAATCTGACAGCTACAAGGACGTAGCATTTTTTTTTTTTTCCTGAATATTTTCATTTTGGTTATCTTTGTTTCAAATTCGTCAGGCGAATATTGACCAGCAGAATTCATTTTCTAAACACGTGAGCCGTGAACTAACATTTGCCTTCAAAAATTGAATTAATATTACAAAAATTGAATTAATATTAAGCCCCTTTTTGGCACTCGTTACTTTTCATTTCATTACATTTTATTTTTTTCTCTCCTATTTTCAATCACGTAGTCTTCCATAAAATAATATTATACATAAATCGAAAACTTTTCTTTCTTTTTCAATCACTCATTTTTCAAAAAAAATACTATTACACCTATTAATTTTTCCACAAAATGGGGGCCGAACGGGGCTAAGTTACGGTTCAAATCCAACTTCACAAGCTAGTGCCAACACTTGACATTTTATATTTATGATTATGACAGGTTATAGCCATAAAAAAATGTTATCACAGCAACTAGGCAAAAAAATGCTATGCGAAAGGGAAACGAGTAAAAGGAAGAAAAATAAAAAATAAGAAGAACTTTTTAAAGACCATTTCTTTGGCAGTCATTACGGAATGATTATTTATGGTATCGAGCTAAATTTAGTTTTGGAAATAAAAACCATCGTGCTAACTTCAATTTTTAAAATAAAATGCATCCGAGCCAAATCAATTTTACGACAACTAGATAAGGGTCGTTATGGAATAATATATTATATGGAGGCTAAAAGGATCAGCCATTATGTAAATTTATTAAGTCTCAATTTGATTCTCATTATTATAAGAATGAAAATGAAAAATATAGTCGATACGGTACCTAGATAAAAGAGAGAAAGTTAAATATGGTGACTTGATGTGATGGATAACGATCATATTTTTCATTTTTGTGATCAAAGAGTGGGAAACAATCGGGGTCTAAATAATTGGGACTTTTTTGTTTGACATAAAATATATTATTCTATTACGCTGATCTAGTTTTACTTTAAATGGTTTCTCAGTGAAGCACAGGGTAGGTGAAGAAATTAAGGCTCCGTTTCATTCACATTATCTGGAAAAAATATATTTTTAAATAGTGATTTGATATCATTTCAACCACATTTTTTAATAAAATAATATTGCACACATTTTCCATCATTACACTATTCAAAAATTCATTTTTATAAAATAATGTGGCTCAAACAAGGGCTAAGCGAAGGTTTTTGTGAGGTTTGTGCTGAAGTAAGCTGTGAAATTAACCAGCAGTGGTGAGATGTTTGATTCTCATTCTTCTAAAAATTTATTTTTTCATAACTCATTTTCAACCGCACATTTTTCAATAAAATAATATTATATGCAAATCCAAAATTTTCTATAATTTGTAACCACATATTCTCCATCAATCTACTATTCAAAATGTAGATTGATTTCGTGGAAAAATTCTTAATTTCGTAATAATTCTTAATTTCGTAATAAATTTGAAACACGTATTTAAGTTATAGGAAAGGTGAGTTGAAAATTAGTTGCACTAAAACAGTCATGTAATTATTTGCACTAAAACAGAGAAAATCATTTTTAAAATATTAGGTCGCATAGTGTCGCAAGGATAAATGTTAGCGTTTATCCTTTGGACACACTTTGAAAATCTCTTCGAAAACTCTATATAACTTTTAGAAACTCAGAAAAGGAAGAAAATTTATCTTCCTTTTCTTTTTCTACAAAATTCAGAATTTTTAAGCAAGCTTGACCAAAAATTTTAGGAAACTTGACGCCGAATTTAGAAAACTTTGATTGGAATGTAATTCTTGAGATTTATTGTGGGTGTGTCAACTAACTATGAACTGAACTGTGGGTTTCAATTGGAAAAATAACTTAATTAGCACTTACCATCCCCCCCCCCCACCAACAAAGAAAAAAAAAAAGAGGAGAGAACGAACGAACAACAACTAATTAGAATGTGTTTGGCGCATTGCATTTGAAATTGGAGGTATGGTGTTGCAGAGTAGTTAGAAGATAAAATTCTGCACTGATTTTAAAAAGAGAATAGATAAGGATACGCATAACTTTTAGCTCGGACAACAAATTTTTCGCGAGAGAGAACAACCAATAAGCATTTTTCATTTTTGCACATTTTTGTGAGTTTATATCATCAAACTTTCAAGATCAAATTCGGTCGTTTAAGGGTTTACTTTAACAATTTTCAAATTTGAATTAGTTTAAGGGTATTTTAATTATTTTTGCAGTTTTTTAGTTTTATTCAGATTTATCAACTCAATTAGAATTTCAATTTGATTAGGATTCATTTAGACTCTTTAAATATGTGGAAAGGATTTGAAAATCATATACTCGATTTTTATTAATAATATTATAGTTTTTACCTTTATTTGGTGGATCCCAATAATTCTTAAATCTATTCAAAAATTCAAGCAACATCCATTCGTGTGTTACGAATAAGACCCTTTTAATTATTATTCACGCTTTTGCCATATGTCACATAGGATTATGAAGGGTAGGTGTAATGTAACGTATTGCTAATTTTATTTATTTAAACCAATAAACTAATTAATTTATTAGTGATTTTTCAATTGTATATTGAATCTCATAAAGTTTTAAGGTATTTAATTTATTACAACATTTTTGTGAGTTTGATTATCCAATCAAAAATTAAAATGTAAATTGAAAAAAGAGTGATTTGTGTTTAGATTATCAATTAACATAACAAATTAAAATAACGCAAATATAAATACAGAGTTCCAAAGCAAGCTTTAATGAGTCGCGTCAATGATATTGTTCTAAAGTCATGTAGTCTCCCTTTCATTCGGATACTTTCAGCACTGTAGAGCTCCAAAAAAAAATTATATAGTTTACACTCGATTCTACTTATATGGACATGATAATAGGGAGATAAATAATGAGTCTTTATCGAATTATCAAAATAGTATAATATAAAAGTATAGGGAGTATTTTTTTGTGTATTCAAGTTGCATCTAACGTAATGAAAATCATTCCGTTTTATAGGAACAAATTCAACCCCCACAATTATTAAATTTAATTCTTTGAATTGTAAGTTACATCTAAAATTATGATTTTAATTTTGCAATTAATCTAAAAATTACAATATGAAAAACTGAAAATTTAATGGTCCGTTTGATTGCAAAGATGGAATCTGGGTGGAAAGAAATCGAATTCTAGGGAATTGAATTGTCTAGAAATTATTTTACTTGGAATTGTCAATTATTGTATTTAATTGATATAATTTTTCACGTGAAAAATGTTAAAATAAAAGTATTTTTTTGTGTTCGTTTGACTTTATTTTACATGAAAATTGTCAATGAAAGGAATAGAATTTACTAGTATTGGAAATGAAATTTGTTTCCATTGCAAAAATAAATAAATTAATAAAAATAAAAAAATTAAGAAAATCATCTATCTTTTAGTGTACGTTTGACTTTATTTTATATGAAAATTGTCAATTAAAAGATTTTTTTTTTTATAATTAGGGATAGAATTTTTTTCAATTGCCAAAAACGAAATAAATAAATAATCGGCCAGCAGCCTAGATAATGAATTCTCACCAATTTGGTGAGAATTCATTTTCCTCAATTTGGTGGAAATGACTTAGGTGGTATCAAAGTTGGAAAATGAATTCCTTAGAAAAAACTATCAAACATCCATTTTTGGTTTAGGGTAGAAATCAAATTCCATTTTCCATGGAATTCATGCCTATCAAACATGACCTAAATGTTTTAATTTTGAAAATATAAAACTTCATATTTAAGTTACAAGAATTCCCAACGAGTTTTAAACCTTCAATATATATAATAGTGGCAAAGTAATTCCTTTTTTTTTTTTTTTGTAACTCGGGTGTCCAAGTTTCGCCTTACTAATCTTGAAGAATGACAGCCTTTCCTCCTGATTCACCACTCAGGAAAATTCGAATGCAGTCACAGTTTATACACACCTGAGCCGAACATTCGGGATGCGGTTCTCCTCCTCGTGAACCTTCCTTTATGATGTGCGAACAAGACTCTGGAAAGACGACAAAGTCTACCATAACTTTACCACAGGACATCTACCTTTCAATATAAACATTGCCTTCCAAGTTTCGCAGGGATCCGAACCTCTTAGGGGTTATAAGATATGGTTCACTCAAAACTGCTGTTTCTATCAGTGACCATTGGACCATGAATGTACAACAGAGGATCCAAGTAAAAAATTTTGTCAATGAATTACTTCACACTTAAGACAAATATTAGGCATTTATGTGGACAACTGTTGCATGACTTTTCAAGTGTCTTTTTCTATTTAATTTATTTGATATTTTCATAGCTTAACATCAGTTTTAAAACTATTTGTGTTCTCAAAAAACAAATTTTGATGCAGTTATAGCTTAACATG